GTCCATTCAGCTTTCTTCCGGAAGTTGTGTAAAACAGAACACCTGCAGGGTACCTGTTAGTGAGACAGCTCCTGGGACTGATCTTTAACTGTTACAGGGAAATTGTGGGATTAGGTGTTTTCCTGTTATTTTTGCAAGGCTGCTTTCATTGGGAGTGGGCGATGTTCACTCTGCAAGAAAATGGAAGGATCAGTGCTTACTTGTCTTATCACCCTTTGGAAATTTTTGTTTAAGGTCAACCCATAAAGGGAGTGGCTTGTCTTACTACAGTGGACCACCTTTGCTTTTTAGCTTTGGTTACCCAGCTCCAAACATCTGATTTGTAAGAGAAAGTTATTTTAATAAAAATAATTAGCCAGGCATGGTGGTGCATGCCTGTAGTCCCAGCTACTCGGGAGGCTGAGGCAGGAGGATCGCTTGAGCCCAGGACTTTGAGGTGCTGTGAGCTAGGATGACGCCAGGGCACTCACTCTAGCCCGGGCAACACAGTGAGACTCTGTCTCAAAAAAAAGAGAAGAATCCTTAAACCCACCTATGACTTGTGAGCCCCCTGCTTTGATATGCCCCACCTTTTTGGGCCAAGGCAATGTGTGCTTTCCATGTGCTGATTTATGACTTCACCTGCAACCCGTCTCCCTGAAATGTATAAAACCTAACTGTGACCCAGCCACCAAGAGTCCACTTGCTCAAGGCTTCTTGGGCGTGGCCCTGGGCCAGGATCCTCGAATTTGGCGCAGAGTAAATCTCTTTAAAATTATTGTACAGAGTTTGGCTTCTTTTCTGTTGACAGGGGTGAATTTGGGCTTGTCATTCGGGTCTGTCGCTGTGATCACCATCCCCACAGCATTCCCATTTGAAGGCACAGCGTGAGACGAAAGCTGCAGAAGCCTTGCGGTAGCAAGGAGGGCCGAGGGGGGCTGGCTTTGGAGGGCCGTGGACGTTGACGTTGCTGACTCCCTGCTGCCGAGGACAGTGTGGATCACACGCCAGGCAGTGGCCATTTATCACGCACGGCTGTTGTGGGTGTGCGCTAGAGAACACACGTCTCCGTCAGCAATCACTCTCCTGGGGTGTCACGGCCCAGTCCCTGGGGAGTCTGAGAAGGCAACAGTTCCTCCAGCTTGTGTAAAACCACCCCCGTTCCACGACTCCCACCCTCCTCAGGTCTTCTCTAATGCTCAGAGCAGGCTGCCTCTTTATCCATCGCACCAGGAGCTTCAGGTGCTGCCCTGCTGTGCGTGTGGCGCCTCCCCTGAGCCTCAAGCGTGGGCCACGAGAAGCGATGTGTGCAGCTTCCGTGTCACTCGCCTGGTGGGCATTTGCTTCCTCCAGCCCCTTTCTCTCCTTTCTCAGCTGTGGGAGGGGAGCTGGGGTCCCGAATGAGATCCACGCAGCAACATCAAAGCTTTGTTTGGGTCAAGCACATCGCCTTGGTCTCACTCAGGGGTGTGGCCTGAGAGTCTGCTGGACCCCCGGGTACTTGGCAGCACGTCTGATCGCAATAGCTAAGGGGTACCCCAAACCATACATTGTTCTAAGTACCGCACGTATGTTAACTCAACAGCAAAGGGAAACTGAGGCCCGGGAATAAGTCCCACAACCAGGGCTACACAGCTGTGAAGTGCCAGAGCTGGGGTTTAGTCTCGGGCTCTAGATCCCACATTCTCAACACGTGAAGGTGGTCCGGAATGTGCACCTTGCCGGGTTCCAGTTCAGGGTCACAGCTCGTTCTCTCTGCTGACCCACTCTTGCCACTTTCTCCCTCCCCCTCCTCCTCCCCTCCCCCTTTATATTTGCTGCAGTGTCATGCTCAGGTAGAATTTCTCCTCAGGTAGAATGCAAGTCCTTTAGAGCAGGACTATTTTTTGTTTAAGAGACAGAGTCTTGCTCTGTTGCCCAGGCTGGAGTGCAGTGGTGTAATCTGCAGCCTCTGACTCCTGGCCTCAAGCCATCCTCCTGCCTCAGCCTCCCAAGTAGCTGGGACTACAGGCTCACACTACCATTTCTGGCTATTTTTTATTTTTTAGAGATGAGGGTTTCGCAATGTTGACCAGGCTGGTCTCGACCTGGCCTCATGTGATCCTCCCACCTTGACCTCCCGAAGTGCTGGAATTACAGGTGTAAGCCACCATGCCTGGCCTATTTTTCTTTATTTTCATAAGATTCCCCCTCATTAAATGACTGTTAGCACTAACCAGGAAATATCCTCTACTACCAAGTCCCAATAGATGATTCAGCTGGGGCCGGGCTCGGTGGCTCATGCCTGTAATCCTAGCACTCTGGGAGGCCGAAGTGGGAGGATCGCTTGAACTCAGGAGTTCAAGACCAGCCTGAGCAAGAGTGAGACCCGTTTCTACTCAAAATAGAAAGAAACTAGCCAAACAACTAAAGATAGAAAAAAATTAGCCAGCCATGGTGGCGCATGCCTTGTAGTCCTAGCTATTCAGGAGGCTGAGATAGGAGGATTGCTTGAGCCCAAGAGTTTGAGGTTGCTGTGAGCTAGGCTGACGCCACGACACTGTAGCCCAGGCAACAGAGCAAGACTTTGTCTCAAAAAAAAAAAAAAAAAAAAAGATTCAACTGGTTTTTAATGAATAAAAGGTGAGATAATGGATTTAATGGATTTATATTATTCAAAGGAAAAAAGAATGTCTTTGCTTTGACAAAGATTCTTCGCTTGGCCCAACTTTAGTTGGGCTCCTGAACCTTCCCTTAGGCCAATCTGTGCATTTCCTTATAAAATCCAGTATTTACAAAGAACCCCCCTAAGTCAGTTTAGCAAGAACCCCTCTCCCCCTCAATTTATGATTACCCTCCACCAGCCCCCAGGTGATGTCTGATCTCCCTGGCCTGCCTTCTACAGGAGTCCTGTTAGGTCAGCTTAACCAGAACCCCTCACCCCTTATGTTTCCTCTTAGTAATCTTCCATCCACTGCCCCCTGCCCCAGCTATAAATTCCTGCTTGCCTGTGCTGTATTTTCTTTAACACTGCAAGCCAGGGAACACCAAAGACTGCCAGCAAACCACCAGAAACTGGAAGAGGCAAGGAAGGATCCTTTTAACAGGTTTCGAAGGGCACATGCCCCTGCCAACACCTTGATTGTGGAATTCTCGCCTCCAGAACTGTGAGATAATATATTTCTGTTTTAAGTCACCTTATTTGTAATACTTGGTTATGGCAGCCCTGGGAAACTAACACACTGGCTCTCTGTGTACTAATGATAGCATCTTTTTCTCCTAATCCACCTCGATGGCCACATCAGCATTCGGAAGATTACTCTGGAGTTGAGGAGGGATAGTGGAAAACTATGGACTTGGATCAGTGAAGGAGCCAAGGAGAGTAGCTGTGGCACTTGGAGGGTTAAGCTGAAAGGCCACAGGAGATGTGGGTGTGAATGGCACAATCAGCAGAGGCTGGCGGAGGCAGGGGGACCTGATTCTCTTTTGAGCACCCCACTTCCCCTCTTCTGAGTCTCCAGGCCCTGGGGACATTTTGTTCTGAGAGCCTTGCTCTCACCTCAGGAATGAGCACCAGATCTGAAATCAAAGGCTGAGCTTGTCCTCTGTGGGCAGCAAAGTCAATGGCCCAAATGTCTGTGGCATCTGCCCGCTTCACTGCACTACCTCCTGCTCTGCTTTTTCTTTTAAGGGAAACTTCAGCATATTTTAGTGCTGTTTCTGCTGGCGTGGGAAAGGGAGGCCTGATTCCTAATCCCCTCCCGGAGGAGGGGTCCCTCTACCCTCCCTGAGCTTGGCTTGGTCTGACAGAGACTGTGAATTTTAATAGGAAATAAACCATCAGTTTATTTCTTTTCATCATCTTATTTTTAAAAGAGGAGGGTGTTTTCTTTTACATCTTTGTTTCTCTACAGAAAGAGGGTGAGGATGTAGGATTCCCCTGGAGGAAGGGGGCTGGGCATTCCTTCGCTGATTGGCAAGTGGACACACCCACACATTCACACAACTACATGCATACACATGCAAGCACACACATGCACATGTACCCTGGTAACCCCGCCCCACACATACACATACCTAGGACACAGCCATGCATGCACAAGACATAGCCCACATGTACGTACACACGCACACACACACGTCGTTGTCTGGCTTTCACTTCAGAGGCTATAGAGCTTGGAGGAAACCAGGAGAGGAACCAGAAGCCAAGGGAGGAGGCCTTCAGGAGAAGAAGCCACACTTCCCAGGAAACCAGGGAATTCTTTTCCTTGACCCAACTCTGCCTCAAATGTTAGACTTCTCTCCCTGGGCCCAGGAATTGATTCTCCAATAATTTAGCCAGATGGACTCCAGGCTTATGCCTTTCCAGGGGTTGAATTCTGTGGAGACCAGAGCTGAGAGTGGCAGTTCTTTGTGGCCCTCCTGGACTCGTCTGCCTTCAGTGATAAGAGGGGAATGAGGTACATGCTTGGGCTTCAGATTTGTATGGAGAAAAAATTTATTAGAACAGGAGGCAAAAGAAAAAAAAAACAACCCAAAAAACCAACCATGGAGGGGATCACTGTGGAAAAGAACCACAAGTTGACAACCCCTGAAAACTTAAGGAAGCACCCCCTCCCCCCACTGTTTTTATTCCTCATCTCTAGTCATGAAAGCAGAGGATTTGTTTAATCAGTTATTTCTGGTCTCTTTTCACATCCTTGGGAAATGTAAGGGGTCAGTAGACTTCTTCAGAAGCCCCCTCAGAGCTGGGGTGGGAAGGTGTGTGGTGGCCATATTTGCCCTCCTGTGGCTGTTGAGATGTAGTTTTATTACTAATGACTTACTCACCCTTCCTGCAAATACAGGGCTTCTCCCCTGTGTGTGTCCTCTGGTGTCTGAGGAGGACTGACTTACGGCTAAAGCCTCGCCCACACTCCCTGCAGACATAGGGCTTCTCCCCTGTGTGTGTCCTCTGGTGTATGAGGAGGTGTGACTTTTGGCTAAAGCCTCGCCCACACTCCCTGCAGACATAGGGCTTCTCCCCTGTGTGTGTCCTCTGGTGTATGAGGAGGTGTGACTTACGGCTAAAGCCTCGCCCACACTCCCTGCAGACATGGGGCTTCTCCCCTGTGTGTGTCCTCTGGTGTATAATGACATTTGACTTATCACCGAAGCTTTGCCCACAGTCTCCATACTTGACTCTTGGGATTCTTGAGATTCCTCCTGTTACACATAATTTGTCTGTGTCCCCTGGACCCACTTTCTGGCCTGTTCTGGGCTCTTCCTCCATTATTCTTTTATCCTCCCTACAGCTCCTCATTTTTCCTTTGGGTGGGCTGGAAAGTGCCTTTGAAATTCCCCTCTGCTGTGTCTTTTTATGAGAGGGTTTGGACCTTTCTTTGACTTCTTGATCTTTGGCTTTGTCATTGCAGCTGTGTGGATCAGAGTGTTGCTGCTCCCAATTCTGATCCCCTGGGCAGGGATTCTCTGGTCGGAGGTGGTTTCTTCCAGATGTTCTTAGAGAGATCTGAGAGGAGTGGGTGTGTTCTACATGTTGACTGAGGAATTTCTGACTGGAGAAGGCCAGAGAGCATGAGGGACACGGATGGATCTCTGGCTTTGGTTCTGCAGAGAGAGGAAGTTTTTGGTCAGAATAGATGTAAACGAGGCTGTCTGAGCCATCTGCTTTGTGGTGTGGTAAGTCCTGCTCCACTAATTATTCTTCTATGTGTTAACAACGCAAGCTGTCTCCCACCAAGTGTCTGATGGACCTTTGTAGTACGTTTTTCCATTCTGTTTTTATTCACTACATCTTCTTTTTTTTTTTTT